AGGAAAATAAACTACAGTGTGTGTGTTCACGGTAAGGAAGGGACATGTCAGCCAGTGCAACAGTGTGTCTCACTGATGTGTTTTTAATAGTTTTAGATAACAATGGAGCTCTATGGCACAGAGGAAGAAGATATATCCGACATACACAATACTTGTTAGTAGATACATTCATTGTTGGTTTAGGACTTTTCACAGGATTTGTTGACAATAAGATATGGAGTAACACCGGTCTTATCCTTTAAGTTTACTCAGGAACTTCAGATTCCCCGTCTGTTCATTGCTGTCTTCCTCTTTCTTTTTGCAATCTTGTCTGTCATCATGTTCTGCCATCTTCTCTCCATCTTCTTGTCTTTATGTGAACTTACCTATTTCATTCATTCCACCCTCCAGGGTGTAGGGGCTTATGGGAAGGTGAGTTGTCTTGGCTTAAGCATGGATGACCTGGACTAGTGCATCCTCACTCAACTTTACCATAATCCATTTTCTTTCCAACTCTGCCTCATCACTCTTTTTTTATTTTCTCTCTGACAACCATTTGTTTAGCATGCTGTTCACTCACAGTCTACAGGCCGGTGTGGACACAGCACTGAACCCTGGAGATAAACAGACCATACTCTACTGAGGATGTGAATTTAAGAATGTCTGTGCTCTTAATCTCACTGATGCATGAGTGTGTTCTTGTCCCTCACCATGCATTCTGCAGGATGTGCTGGTTTGAAATTCTGTACAGTAAACTATCATGTGACTGCTTCTTGTTGATTGTGTGTGTGGCTGCTCCCACAGAAAGCCCTGGATATAACCAGAGAGGATTACGGGGCCTTGCCTAGCTGGAAGCAGGTGAACTTGAAGAAAGCCAAAGGCCTTTTCTGAATGTTTGAAACAGAGAGCTGACCTGAAGACATCAGAAAAAAAGCCCCCAGGAGGTTGTTTTGTCTCGTTTACGTTGGGACCCAGCCGAGGCTCAGGGGTAGCCTCTCCTGAGCTGTGATGGCGGGTTGAGGAGGGGAGTACTGAAGGTGCGGAAGAGGTGATTAGTGACTGAGAGGTGTGGCAGCTTCTTGTGCTGCAGTTTTCCTTCCCATCTGTTTTTTGCATTGCTTTTAAAGTAGGAGACAAACATAAGCGGATGCACCTCTGAGTGGATGTGTTAATAGTTCTTTACAGTCTCACTCTGTTAATGTTTGTACATATGTACCATACGCAGGACAGCCAGTGCCGTTACCTTGTCAGCCATCTGTTAGAGTGGGAGCAGGCCTGTCAGCCCGCTCAGCACACATCAGATCCTCTGCTATTCTTATATGTATACTTGTGCATTACAGATAATTTATATCAAATCCATATAGGAATTTAAAAAAAGGCTTCATGAATATTCACTGAGCTAAAAATGATTGAATAAACTGTATAATGAATGTTGAGGATATGTTAATGTTAATAAATACTGGATATTGCAAAAATTCTCTCGTGCTGTACAGTTCACCATTTGCCGTTTACAAATCAAATGATGCAGCTTTGTTTGAATGTGTCTAGTGTCATTATTGTTTCATATAGGAGAAAGCATACAGGCTGGATTAAAGGCACAGAGAGAGATGATGATGAAATGTATTTGATTTTTAAATCCTACAGTGTATAGTGCCTTGCTTTGTGTACAGTTTATATACAGATGCTAGTCTGCATTTTGAAGACTTTTTGTGATATAAAAAAATATTAGAGAAATAAACCCTGAAAGTTGGATATTAGAACAGTGTTTTTGGTTTCCTGTTTTTTCTCCTTAAATTCATATAATTAATTTGTGTGTGACCACAGTATGAATACATCCATCCAATAGAGGGCAGTATAATACTAATTTCTGTGGACTGACTGGTTATTTGTTACAATCAATAACACTGAGCACACTGTATTCTATAGTAAAACCTACCTGCTGTAAACCCATTTCTTGTTTTATGGTAAACTGATTGGCTTAATAGAACCCAGACAGAGAACACAGAGTACCTGAGTGGTTCCTAACCTGAGGGTCCGTGCTCCCAGAAGTGGTTGGAATATATATCTGAAAACATTTGTCATGCACTAAATTATGTTTCTTTTTTTAACATTTATCTTTGCTTGTTTTTTTTCTCACAAAGTACTTGAAGGATTTTAGCTCTATAGTTACTTCAATGGACGATGTATTTATGTCTCAGAACAAAAGGAAATCTGTTTTTTGTAAATGATCAAAAAATGGTCAAATGAAAAATATTTTAAAAATACATAAGCTGGGAAACACTGAAGTAGCTCACTGCTGTCAGTTAATGACTAGAAGATTCCCAGCATAAATCCCTGACTAGAGCATGGGGAAGTTTTGTCTGTCCCCTTCCTCAAACACTACTGTTAGTTAGGTCACTGGTTCCCAAAATGGGGGGCAGGAAAAACAGCTGAATTAATCTGATTCATATTCCTTTTACACAGCAGACATTTTGACTCATCATAGCAGGAAAAGCACAGGTGCTAATAATATTAACTGTGGCTCTGTTCTATTTGAGTGTCCCAGTGAGCCATAACAGTGAGCCAGCATGAACAATAGGACCCTGACACACTGAAACAGCTAAATAGAATTCATTTATTTTATTATTTACACCTGTGCTTTCTGGCTGAGACACGTCAACATGTGTTCTGTGAAAAGGGACCATGTATTTGGGAACAATAAAGAAACAAAAGTGCTCTGATGCTGGCCAGATTATCATGACTGAGGTTAAAAGAAAGGAAAAACAATTATGTTCACTGATCAAACATGGCAGTCAAATCCACAATATAAACAAGTCGATCTAGTTGTGTTTACACTGAGAGCCTTGTGTCTATAGTATCTAAAAACCAATGGTAAATGCAAGTACATTTACTCAAACAATGTACTTCACTACAAATTTGAGGTATTTATTTTTAATTTCATTCTACTTTATATTTTTTGAAGTACTTGTTTTAGTGTTTAAGTTGGGAAGATTGTTGATGAAGCAGCTTTTACCAGTAATGTCAATTGACACTAACTTAGTTTTGTAAGTTACAGAAATATTCCTGATTATGTACTTATTTCTAGGTATTTTGTTTTCACAGTACAAATAAAAACCACCATATTAAGTCATTGTCACTTATAATGACTAAAGCTACTTGATCCAGAACTTACAAAATTGAGATAGTTTAAATGATGTAATCAGTTTGAACTTATCTGGAATCTGGTTTTACAGTGAAGCAGAAATCTGCAGTTCATGTTTCTGACAATGTTATTTCAGTTCAATTGCTTTTGTTGCCAGTTTCCCCACTGTTGATACAAATTCAGTCTGTTACATATCAGGGAAGGTGAGTGCTTGTTTGTTTCCAAAGAGGGCATGGGAGAAGACGTTTGGGAACCACTGGTCCGGGCAGTTAACCCCTAACAAAGCCAAAGAAGTTGCACAGTCATAAGAAATACAAGACTGACTGTCTGTAAATTCCCAGTGACTGTGAAATAGATGGCAGACCTTTCTGTGTAAATAAAGTCAGTGCAGTAATACCGGTAATCACACTGAGAAAGTCATGTTTTCATGTTAGTCTCTTATTAACACCTCTGATCAGCACTGCTCCTCCATAAGACATTCTTGGCAGCTTTATGGAAGCTGTTAAAAGCTCAATTACCTCGCTATGTGAAGTCACACACACACACACAC